CAACATCGAGGCAAGGGGAACAACGGCAAGGGCAAGTCTCGAAGCCTCAGCAAAAGCAGAACAAAGGAACACAACAAGCCCAGCTCAGGGACGCCGCTCAAGGAGCTGCGGCTACACAGCACCACACAGGACACCAGCAAGGGCCTTCCCGACAGAGGCAGTCCCCACCCGAATGCAGCGGGAAGCAGGCCACGGCACCCAGTCAGATGGCACAGAGAGCCATGGAGACTTGCGTGACCTGCGGGACAGCGGAGGCAACGATCGCAGGAGTGGGCCAAGAACCACAGGCCACAGCCAAGGAAACCCTGTCCCCCCAGAGGGAGGGCACCTCGCCGGCTCACATTGTCACCGTAATCAAGCTTGTGGTAGAGGTGCTGTCCATGCTAATCCCATCAATGAAGGACAGGCAGGTCTGCAAGGATCTCCTGACTACCGTGTACAGCATGGCTCTCCTGAAGAGGGCCGACGCAGCATCCCTTCAGGCCCACCTCACCCAGGTCTTCACGCCCGAGGAATTGGTAGAACACGCACGGATATTCCGGAGAAACATGGACCAACAGGAGGAGATGGAGTCCGACGGGTTGCCCAACAGTCCCTAAAAATCCTCCAGTACATCTGTGGTCTGAGGCAGAAACTCCACCTAGCTATCCAGGCGGCAGTCCAGGATGAGATAGATATGTTTCTGTTCCAAGAAACCCTTGCCAAACCCCCACCCGCCCCACAGCCACGCATCCCTGGGTTCTCTGCATACCTGCAGCGTGGTGGGCCCCCCGCCAGGGGCACCGCAATCTATGTGCGGAATTCCATTCCCCACTCAATCGTCACTGACCCTGTCAACTGCGGTGAAGGGGTGGAGGTGCAAGCCGCCACGCTGCGACTACCATCTGGACCACTGACTATTTACAATGTGTACCGGAGCACACGGTTTACCCTCGACCTCTCGGAGGTTGCAGCCCTGTCCATATCTCGCCTCGAGGGCGTGCTCGTGGCGGGGGACATCAACGCCCATCATGAGCTTCTCCGCTTTGTCTCCCATACCAATGAGACGGGCAGACACTTGGCGGCGGTGCTCGAGGATGTTCCCGAGATCGTCCTCCTCAACAATGGGGAGCCGACGCACCACGGCGGCAACCGACTGGATGGTATCACCTACAGCATGATCGCAAGGGCGGGCCCCTCTGGACACAATGCGCTCTTGGAGGTCAACTGCTCCTGGAGGGCTGGGCAACTCCCCACTGCATGGAAGGAGGCCATCATCTTGCCCATCCCCAAGCTCAGGGACCCGGAAAGCATGAGGTCCATCTCTCTCACCGGCTGTCTTTCCAAGATTGCTGAAAGGATGATCCTTGAGCGACTACGGTGGAAGCTCGGCCCGGAACACCGTCATATATACGGCTTCACACGAGGAGTGGGGACTGCAGAGAGCATCACCACCCTCCTTGCAGGCATTGGGTCAAACAAGAGACCCAAAATTGTTGTCTTCCTGGACCTCGAGAAAGCCTTTGAGCTTGCCAGCGCACCAGCCATCCTCGACCTCCTAGCACGCAGGGGCGTGAGGGGCAGGCTCCTTGCCTGGATCTCTGCATACCTGCAGGACAGGTGTGCACAAGTGCGCTTCCAGGGACAGGTGTCCACCCTCAGGCCCCTGGAAAATGGCACCCCACAGGGAGGGGTCCTCAGCCCCGCTCTCTTCAATGTCCTGATGCATGAGCTGGTGCAGCTGCCGTTCTCTTTAGGCACCCAGCTGCTCAGCTACGCTGATGATCTTGCCCTCATCATCACCGAGAGATGCGGTTTGATGCTTAGAGCCCAACGTGACCTTAACCTCCTCTCCACCACCTGTTGTCGCCTCGGCCTCAAGGTCTCGGCGGAAAAATCCAAGGCCACGATCCTGCACGCCAAAGTGCCGGAAGGGAGACTGCAGGTGTCGGGCATCAATCTCGGCTGGGTCAGCAGCTACCTGTACCTGGGAGTGCACATTGACAATCGGCTCTCCTTTCGGAATCAGGCAGAGTACGTCAGAGAGCGGACAATGCAACGGGTCATGGCCATGCGGGCCCTCGCCAACCCTAGGTCGGGGGCCAGCCGTGACATTCTCCGGTTATTCTACGTGCAGGCGGTGCGCTCTCTCGTCGACTATGGTGCACTTACCCTGGTCCATGCCCGCCCCTCGCACCTTCGAAGACTCGACATTGTCCAAAATACTGCAGCTCGGATCATGCTAGGCGCGCCAAGGTGGACGAACACCGTGCCACTGAACCATGAGGCTCAACTGCAGCCCCTACGCGATAGGATCGCCCTTGTGGCTGCCAGGAGGGTGGCCAAGTACGTACAACTCCCTGAAGAGGGACTGCTGCAAGACCTCCTTGAACGTCAACAGGGAGACCTCAGGGAGTTTCCTGGCCGGCTGTGGGTGTGGTCAGTGACAGATGTAGCAAGCAAACTCCTCCCCATGGCACTTATCGTGGACAAGGGCTGTGACCGGCCTGTGGCGGGGTACTCTGTACTCCCGCCCTGGGCACCAGAAGCAGTTGTGGTCCTCATCCAAGACCTCCCAGTTAGCAAGCGTCACTGTCCACAACACGTGCTGCAGCAAAGGGCTGCAATGAGTATTGCAGCAGCAGAGCACCCTGAGTGCGCCGTATATTACACCGATGGCTCCCGGGATCCAGAGGCTGGCCGCACAGGTGCCGGGGTACACCATGCCACCCTGACAGCCGGATGGCGACTCCAGGATCACTGCACCATCCTCCAGGCAAAACTCCATGCCATCCAGAGGGCCCTGCAACACGCGCTCCTGGATCATCGGCGACCCCCAGTCATTCACGTCAACTCCAGAGCGGCGATCCAGGCCATCATGCACAGGGAGCCCAGGGACAACATCCGGCTAATTACTGCCATCAGGAAGGACCTGCAGACACTTAATGAGCAGTGACGGCAAGCAACAATCAACTGGATTCCGAGCCACATCGACCTCGCTGGGAATGATGCGGCAGATGGCATGGCGAAGTCAGCAACCCTTGAACCCCAACCAGTGACCACCATCGCCATCAGCCGCAGGCAGGTGGACCTGTGGGCAGCCGCTGCAGCCAGGCGCCCACTACCAGGGCCAGGCACATCGCGGAGCCGGATCTGGTACGACAGGGCGACCCGAGGGGAGCCCCCGCCAAGCATGCGGAGGCTAGACAGGAAGTTGCAGGTTGGGATCCACCGGCTGCGACTTGGCTACCCTACTGCCAGAAGACTCATCGACCGTGTGCGAGAGGAGTGCTGCTGCCATTGCAACCAGATGGTCCCTGAGCCACTAGTGCACTACCTCTTCGACTGCCCCGCAACGGTGCCACTCCGACGGAGGCACTTCCCAATGGCGCCTGGGGACCCAAACCGAGAAGACACCGCAGCCCGGCTGGTGTACCTGGGAACTCTCATCCCCATCCTGGCTGCCCACTCACCGCCTCGATGACGACGCCACATACAATGAAGAGTCGCCACGACCTCTCCATCTATTAACTCTCCTACTCTTCCTTCTTTCACTCCCCTACCTCCCCTCCCCCACCACTTAAAAAAAAAAAAAAAAAATCCAACGGAGCCTGTACCTGTTTTCTAGGTAAAAGTCTGAACTCGCCTAGAACCCATGCCACACTACCAACAACTTGATGGGGCAACAAGTGCCCGAAGACCCTCAACCCTGACGATGCCTGCAAATGAAGCCCAAGTGGACGCCTGCGAAGACCAAGTGACGCCTGCTGATGAAGATGAGAAGCGAGATGACACTCCCCTCCGGGGAGTCGCCGAAAGAGAGAAGAGGAGGTTACCCTCCAGCCGGAGGGCCCAAGAAAGAAGACAGAAGAAAGAAGATGAACAACACCCCCAACCGGGGGCCACAGCCGGGTCACCATATGAAGAAGACCCGGGCCGGAAGTACCGGCAAACCTCTAATGAATGAATGAATTCCCAATGGCTAAGAAGCTGTATAATTACAATTCAGTATTTCACTTAAAATTATTATAATCCAGTCTACCCACTGGTTGTTGTTAAGAGAGATGATATTTTGTTTGGATTTTTAACCCCAGAGGGTTAGCCACCCAGGATAACCTGAAATGCCCTAGTCTGCCCAAAATGCACTGGCATGATAGTGGCTTTCTTTGTACTTAGCAAATCAAAATTGTAATTACACACTGTAACCTTTACAAAGAAATAAATCTTTATCTTTATCTTATCTTTAAAAGCAGTGCATCATCAAGGGACTGTCTTATTTCCACTGGGATCCTTAATCTTGTCCCTCAGGATGAGACCCGCACCAGTCAACTAACACCCAGGTACCTACTTGCTTGCTAGGTGACCATAACAAAAGGTGTAAGGAAACACGCCAAATGTTTCAACCCTTGCTGGGGATCAAACCACAAACACTCAGGGGCAGCACCTAGGGTGGCTTGAGGAGACTTCATCCCAAAAATTCCCTTAACCCTCCAAAGTCCCACAAATAAAATAATAATACCACTGCTTCAAAACAAGTCTCCTAACCTCCCCTTCCAATCAAATACCCACCCCTTAGTGCCCAGTACAGAAACTCTGCTGTCCTAAGCCAGAATTTCATGGGAAGGCACTAAACCTGTAAGGGTCATACAACATACAGTTAATAAGAGGTAATCCTGGTTTGATCCAGGGAAGGGAAGGGTAGCTCCAATTCCTTAGATCAAGAGCCCCATCACCAGCACCAAGAAACCTCACCCCCAAACCCCCCTTGAAGAGTCTGCTAACTTATGTGCTACTCTTATGATAATGCCCAAAAGGAAGGCTAGATATTAATATAAAGGCCACATAATTTCGGTTAATAAGTAAGCTAAGCTAAGTTATAATGTATATAGAACGCACAAACCCAGTGGCTTATTTGTCCTAGGGCTGACTCAGCAACCTTATATACAGTCTTTCCACCATACAAATTATATCACCGATACATTTGCTCAGATACAAGTTGTATTATCTTAAAAAGTTATTACCGGTTATTACATCATGGGTAATGTTATGTTCAGACGATGTTAACCCCTCTCAACCCACTGCTGTATTCTGCCTCACACCTCTCACATCTCCCGAGGATCTACACTGTGATGGGTAATACGTTACAGGATGTTAATATACAACGGTGACAGACGCTGGGATTAGTAATAAGACGAGAAATTAACAGTAACTCACAGCAAAATCTTCAAGACTAGAGGACCAGATGGCAACACATGATGATGGCGGCGCACCAAGACAAACCTTAAATCTCTCATTTTACTCTGCTCTAATAGATAGATAAATAGATAGATAGATAGACTGATAGATATAGATACAGAATAATGGATGAACGGACAGATGGACAGACGTATTCATATATACAGACAGTCCTTATTTGAGTTTGGCTATAATTTATTCCTTAAAACGTCCAATATTAGTTTCTTTTTTTGCCATGGACATTTTTTTTTATGTTGTGCAACTATAAGACACGTAACCTAACATAACTTAACCTTAGTCCACCAACTGTAAATATGGGACTGGAGCGCCTTTGTCTACATTGAATTTCTCTCTTTTCATGATTATATTTGCTAATATATGCCACCTTTATATTTATATATATATATATATATATATATATATATATATAATATATATATATATATATATATATATATATATATATATATATATATATATATATATATATATATATATATGTATATGTATATATATATATATATATATATATATATATATATATATATATATATATATATATATATATATATATAAGAAAGAAGGAACACTGCAGCAGGCCTACTGGCCCATGCGAGGCAAGTCCAAGTCTCCTACCTGCTTAAGCCAATGCCCCAACCTAGTCAGGTCAGGTCACATTCACTTAAGGAAGGAACACAGCAACTAACCTAATAGCACACGCTAATCAGGTCCAACTCACACCCACTCATGTATTTATCTAACCTATTTTTAAAACAACACAACGTTTTAGCCTCTATAACTGTACTTGGGAGTTTGTTCCACTCATCCACAACTCTATTACCAAACCAATGCTTTCCTATATCTTTCCTGAATCTGAATTTTTCCAACTTAAAACCATTGCTACGAGTCCTGTATAGGCTAGATATTTTCAGCACGTTATTTACATCCCCTTAATTTATTCCTGTCTTCCATTTATACACCTCAATCATATCCCCCCTAATTCTACGCCTTTCTAGAGAGTGCAGATCCAGGGTCCTCAGTCTATCCTCATAGGGACGACTCTGATACATGGGATCAACTTTGCCATCCTCCTTCGTATGTTTTCCAGAGCATTTATATCCATTCTGTAATACGGTGACCAAAACTGTGCAGCATAATCTAAATGAGGCCTAACCAAGGATATACAGAGTTGAACAACCTGAGGACTCCTATTATTTATGCTTCTTGATATGAAGCCAAGGATAACGTAATATTAAGATCTACATTATTTAGTTTATATGTGGCATGGTTATTTTCCTGTCCAACATTTAGAACTTTGCATTTGTCTATATTAAACTACATCTGCCACTTCTCCGACCACTGCATCAGTCTATTCAAATCTTCTTGGAGTGGTCTAACGTCCTCGTCAGAATGAATTGGACGGCCTATTTTGGTGTCATCGGCAAACTTGCATGTCGCTCTTTATGCCCTCATCAATGTCGTTTATGTAGATTGTGAACAACAGGGGGCCCAACACTGACCCCTGTGGAACACCGCTCGTGACGCTTTCCCACTCTGATTTCTCCCCATTTATGCAAACTCTCTGCTGCTTATTTGTCAACCATGCCTCTATCCAGGAAAAAATTTCTCCTATTCCATGTGCCTTAAATTTCCTTAATAGTCTGATGTGGGACCCTGTCAAAAGCCTTACTGAAGTCCATATACACAATGTCATATTCATTACCATGATCTTCCTCCTCAAATACCTTAGTGAAAAAAGTTAATAAATTCGTAAGGCAGGAACGCCCCTTTGTAAAACCATGCTGAGATTCGTTGATTAATTTATGCTTTTCAAGGTGGCTACGAACTGCCTCGGCAATTATTGATTCCATAAATTTTCCCACTATGGAGGTTAAGCTTATTGGTCTATATGACTCGCGAAATCGTAATGGCACGACTGCAAACAAACCATACCACGGATGGGGGTAGAACCCGCGATCAGAGGGTTTTGAGACTCTCTGATCGCGGGTTCTATCCCCGTCCGTGGCATGGTTTATTGGTCTATAGTTCGAACCTAAGGACCTGCCACCTGCTTTGAAAATAGGTATCACATTTGCCATTTTCCACTTATCTGGCACCATGCCAGTCTGTAGTGATATGTTAAAAAGATTAGCCAAAGGTTTGCTAAGCTCCTCTTTACATTCCTTTAGAACCCTTGCGTACAGTTCATCAGGGCCTGGGGATTTGTTAGGTTTTAATATATCTATTTGCCTAAGGACCATGTCACTTGTGACCTTAATCGTGCATAGTTTATTATCATCCTGTTCTACATAATTTATTATTTCTGGAATGTCGCTAGTATCTTCCTGTTTAAAAACTGAGAGGAAGTATATGTTAAAAATTCTACACATTTCTTTATCACTGTCCGTGAGCTGACCTGAGTAACTTTTGAGTGGGTCTATCTTGTCCCTGATCTTACTTCTGTATACCTGAAAGAATCATTTTGGGTTAGTCTTCGATTCTCTTGCAACTGTAACCTCATAATATCTTTTTGTTTTTCTTATTCCCTTTTTTATTTCTCTCTTTAACTGAATATATTGATTTCTTAATTGCCCCTCTCCTCTTTGGATTTGCCTATACATGCCTCTCTTTTGACCAATGAGATGTTTTAATCTATTGTTCATCCATTTAAGATCATTTCAGTTTGATCTGATTTCCCTATTTGGAACATAAGTTGTCTGAGCAGCTAGAACTATGCCCTGGAAAACGTCGTATCGGCAATCATCACCTACCTGGAGTTTACCTGGAGAGAGTTCCGGGGGTCAACGCCCCCGCGGCCCGGTCTGAGACCAGGCCTCCTGGTGGATCAGAGCCTGATCAACCAGGCTGTTGCTGCTGGCTGCACGCAAACCAACATACGAGCCACAGCCCGGCTGATCCGGAACTGACTTTAGGTGCTTGTCCAGTGCCAGCTTGAAGACTGCCAGGGGTCTGTTGGTAATCCCCCTTATGTGTGCTGGGAGGCAGTTGAACAGTCTCGGGCCCCTGACACTTATTGTATGGTCTCTTAACGTGCTAGTGACACCCCTGCTTTTCATTGGGGGGGTGGTGCATCGTCTGCCAAGTCTTTTGCTTTCGTAATGAGTGATTTTCGTGTGCAAGTTCGGTACTAGTCCCTCTAGGATTTTCCAGGTGTATATAATCATGTATCTCTCCCTCCTGCGTTCCAGGGAATACAGGTTTAGGAACCTCAAGCGCTCCCAGTAATTGAGGTGTTTTATCTCCGTTATGCGCGCCGTGAAAGTTCTCTGTACATTTTCTAGGTCGGCAATTTCACCTGCCTTGAAAGGTGCTGTTAGTGTGCAGCAATAATTCCAGCCTAGATAGAACAAGTGACCTGAAGAGTGTCATCATGGGCTTGGCCTCCCTAGTTTTGAAGGTTCTCATTATCCATCCTGTCATTTTTCTAGCAGAGTACAAAACAAATTCTGGCCACAAAATAGAGCGAAACACCAACGTCAAAGACCTGGGAGTGATTATGTCGGAGGCTCTCACCTTCAAGGACCATAACATTGTATCAATCGCATCTGCTAGAAAAATGACAGGATGGATAATGAGAACCTTCAAACTAGGGAGGCCAAGCCCATGATGACACTCTTCAGGTCACTTGTTCTATCTAGGCTGGAATATTGCTGCACTCTAACAGCACCTTTCAAGGCAGGTGAAATTGCCGACCTAGAAAATGTACAGAGAACTTTCACGGCGCGCATAACGGAGATAAAACACCTCATTACTGGGAGCGCTTGAGGTTTCTAAACCTGTATTCCCTGGAACGCAGGAGGGAGAGATACATGATTATATACACCTGGAAAATCCTAGAGGGACTAGTACCGAACTTGCACACGAAAATCACTCACTACGAAAGCAAAAGACTTGGCAGACGATGCACCATCCCCCCAAATGAAAAGCAGGTGGTCACTAGCACGTTAAGAGACCATACAATAAGTGTCAGGGGCCCAAGACTGTTCAACTGCCTCCCAGCACACATAAGGGGGATTACCAACAGACCCCTGGCAGTCTTCAAGCTGGCACTGGACAAGCACCTAAAGTCAGTTCCTGATCAGCCGGGCTGTGGCTCGTACGTTGGTTTGCGTGCAGCCAGCAGCAACAGCCTGTTGATCAGGCGCTGATCCACCAGGAGGCCTGGTCACAGACCGGGCCGCGGGGGCGTTGACCCCCGAAACTCTCTCCAGGTAAACTCCAGGCAGATGCGATTGATACAATGTTATGGTCCTTGAAGGTGAGATCCTCCGACATGATCACTCCCAGGTCTTTGACGTTGGTGTTTCGCTCTATTTTGTGGCCAGAATTTGTTTTGTACTCTGATGAAGATTTAATTTCCTCATGTTTACCATATCTGAGTAATTGAAATTTCTCATCGTTGAACTTCATATTGTTTTCTGCAGCCCACTGAAAGATTTGGTTGATGTCTGCCTGGAGCTTTGCAGTGTCTGCAATGGAAGACACTGTCATGCAGATTCGGGTGTCATCTGCAAAGGAAGACACGGTTCTGTGGCTGACATCCTTGTCTATGTCGGATATAAGGATGAGGAACAAGATGGGAGCGAGTACTGTGCCTTGTGGAACAGAGCTTTTCACCGTAGCTTGCCTCGGACTTTACTCTGTTGACGACTACTCTCTGTGTTCTGTTAGTGAGGAAATTATAGATCCATCGACCGACTTTTCCTGTTATTCCTTTAGCACGCATTTTGTGCGCTATTACGCCATGGTCACACTTGTCGAAGGCTTTTGCAAAGTCTGTATATATTACATCTGCATTCTTTTTGTCCTTCTAGTGCATTTAGGACCTTGTCGTAGTGGTCCAATAGTTGAGACAGACAGGAGCGACCTGTTCTAAA